AAAAGTGCTGTTTCGAACAGCGCAAAATCACGTTCTTGGGACTGGTTCTCTCTTCCGCGGGGGTCACGATGAATCCCCAGAAAGTCACGGCGATCTTAGATTGGCCAATACTTGCCGACAAAAAGGGGGTACAGCGTTTCATCGGCTTTTCTAATTTTTATAGAAAGTTTGTTAGGAACTTCTCCGGTCTGGTCTCCCCGATCACGCAACTGACGAAACAAGGGGTCCGCTTTAAGTGGACTCCCGAAGCTCAGACGGCATTCGAAAAGCTCAAGAAATTGTTCACCTCTGCTCCCATTCTCTGCCATCCGGATTCTTCTCTCCCATATGTTTTGGAAGTGGACGCCTCCGAAAATGCAGTAGGAGCGGTTCTGTCCCAAAGGAATGGTACCAAGGAACTACTGCACCCTGTGGCGTTCTTCTCCAGGAAGTTGACGCCGGCGGAAGGTAACTATGACATTGGAGATCGGGAGCTCCTGGCCATTAAATCCGCTCTAGAAGAATGGAGGTATTTACTGGAGGGAGCCACACACCCAATCCTAATATTCACAGATCATAAAAACCTTGAATATTTAAGAACGGCAAAACGACTGAGACCTCGCCAGGCGAGATGGGCTCTTTTCTTTTCTCGATTTATATTCCATATAACGTACCGACCCGGTACTAAGAATACAAAACCAGACGCCCTGTCCCGCATGTTTGAGGACCCCGACGACGCAGTGGTACCTGACACCATCTTACCTTCCGGAAGCTTCCTCGCTCTACAAACGGAACTTCGCTCCAGACTTCTCGATGCTTCTGTAGGACTACCAGTTCCGTCTGGGTCACCCCTCCAGAACCATGGTGGGCTGTTTTGGAAGGAAGACCGGATCATGGTCCCAGAAGAAGTGCGAACCTTGGTCCTAGGGCACTGCCACGACCATCCAATGGCGGGTAACTTCGGAGTTACGAAAACTCTGGAACTACTACGGCACTCGTTCTGGTGGCCGGACATGATCAAGGATTGCGAGCGTTACGTCCAGACCTGTCCCACCTGTCAAAGGAACAAGCCCTCCAGGAGCAGGGCATGGGGATTGTTACGTCCATTGCCTATACCCAAGCGGGCCTGGCAAATGATAGCCATGGATTTTGTGGTCGAACTCCCACCATCCCAAGGCTACACAGCAATAATGGTGATCGTCGACCGCTTCTCAAAGATGGCACATTTCGTACCCCTGGAAAAGACCCCATCGGCACCAGAAACGGCACGGATCTTCATTAAGGAAGTAGTGAGGCTTCATGGGGTTCCCGAAGATATAGTGTCAGATCGGGGAGTCCAATTCACCTCCAGATTCTGGAACGCCTTATGTAAAGCGCTGGGAATCAAGCTGTCGCTTTCTTCCGCCTACCATCCTCAGACCAACGGCCAAACCGAGAGGACCAACCAAACGCTGGAACAGTACTTACGATGCTACACATCCTACCTTCAGGATGACTGGCTGACGTTATTGCCTTCCGCAGAATTCTCGTACAACAACTCGAATCACTCAGCTACGGGTTAATCCCCGTTCTTTTCCAATTACGGGTATCATCCCACATTCCTCCCCGATCTGATGCCTGAAAATCCGGTACCTGCGTCTCAAGACATCTTGAACTTCTTTTCTGTCAATAACAAAACGATTCAGGAAGCCATCGATAAAGCCCAAGAGGACAGTAAAAGGGCGTTTCGACAGGAAAAGAAGAGGAGAGTTACTGCTTCAACCGGGGGATCAGGTTTGGCTGGCAACGACCAACTTGAAGATGCTGTGTCCTTCGAGGAAGCTGGGACCCAAGTACATTGGCCCATTTCCGGTAAAACGAGTAGTCAACAAGGTGGCCTACGAACTCGAGCTTCCACGAACCTTCAAGATACATCCTGTGTTCCATGTGTCTCTCCTGAAGCCATCCAGACCAGATCGCTTCCCGGACCGTGAAACCAGTGGAGACTACAGTATCCTCAGTTGCCGAAAGAGGGGGGGCCAGACACAGTTCCTGATAAAATGGAAGAGTTATGGCCCTGAGGAGAACTCATGGGAACCCGCCCAGAACATTCACGCACCCAGGCTCATCCGGGAGTTTTTTTTTTCGTAGTCACCCGTGGTGGAGAGATCAGTGGGGCTCCCGGAGGGTGCCCATTGGGGGGGGCAATGTCAGGGATCGCGGCTCCGGAATCCGGGATCGCGGCTTCTTCCCCCGCGCATGCGCACTGGCGGCAGATCACGCCGGGACACAGGCACTAGGTCCCGGCGAGCCGCGGCTGATAGGACGCCGCGCATGTGCAGTTGGAGCCGCGGGCGCACCTCAGGCATCCAATGACAGCCGGGGGCGCATCCTAGCCGGCCAATGACAGTGCAGGGGCACTATTTAAAGATGCCCTGCACTGTCACAGATTGCCACAAGGCCTATCTGTGATCCTGAGTTCCTGTACTCGTTCTAGTGACCCTGATTGACCCTGACTACGCTGCCTTCTCCTGTGATTGACCCGGATTGCCCTGACTACGCTGACTTCTCCTGTGATTGACCCGGATTGCCCTGACTACGCTGCCTCCTCCTGTGATTGACCCGGATTGCCCTGACTACTCTGCCTTCTCCTATTCTGACCCCTGGCTTGCCTGACCATTCTACGGGCTGATTACCCTGCTGATCCTCCGTGTGACCTGACTACTCTTTGCCTGCCGATTCGGTACCCCGCTGCCCCCACGGGACCACGATCCGTTACCACCCTGCTAGGGCCGCCGTCCTCTTCACATCTGGCTCTCCCAGTACCTGCATACGTCCCCGGAGGCTTCCTCAGCCACTGGTGGGCCTGCTCAGAGGTCGTGACCTGGCCCGGGACTGTTACAAGTCCATCCCCACCATCAGGGGCCCTGGTGAAAGCACAGCTCAGGCTTAGACCCCACGCTCTGGGTAGGTCCGTCAGTTGGCAGCCTGAGGCACCACCTGGCGGATCATAACACCCTGGCTTTATCCTGACCTGCTACTACTCTGTGTATGACCCTGGCTTGATGCCGACGTTGCTCCTGTCTGTTGTTCCATATTGATCCTGGCTCTGGCTGCTGACTATTCTACTCATCCTCCGGGATCCACGTGTTCTCTGGAGAAACGTATCCTACAACTGGAGCACTCATGGGTTCCATCTCATCAGGCATTTTAAAGCAGCAACACCACTGGCAACCCGTGCTTCTTTGGGCACTGCACCTCCTGTTTCCACCTCCAGAGGCTCACTGCACTTAGCCGTAGGCGGAGCCCTCTCTCTATTACAGCCTCCGGTCAGGTACGTGACAGCCAGTAATACAGGGATCATTGTTTTTCTAATTACTTTCTGGAACAGTAGAACCAATGGATAGGCACTTCCTTTGGTAAGGTGACAACAATCTTCCTTCTGCAATGAAACCACTGCAGCACTGTCAACTCTGCCACCACTGTAGATGCTTGGCCATGTGCATAGCCCCATCAGTGAATATTCTGGGCTAGCTTCACCCACTGCCTTTTAGATTGGCATGTATCTTTTTCTTCAAGAGCTTGAAAATAAATGCAAGGCCTTCCCAGTCAATTCCACACCCCCAAGCAATGCCTAAAGCAATGTCTAAAAGTGTAAAAGAGCTCTGAGGAAGGGAGCTCGTCTCCCGAAATGCGTTAGCACACCCTGTCGCAAGACCACCACTTCCTGGGACTGTCATATTGGTTCCTTGTTTTATTTATTACTCTTGGTTTGTGAGTATACACTTTTGTCATCCTCAATAAATTATTTTTTATCACGGTAATGCACAAGGAGAGTGAGCCCTTTTTAACCAAACGCTGTCCATCCTGATGCTTACAGTGATTCCTTTCTAGACCCTGTTCTACTAGTTTACTTTTAAACCATTTTAAAAGAAATGTATATTGTCATTTCAATTATTTCTTCGGACAAATGTTGAGGCCCCTGACATGGTCAAATGCGTTCTCACCTAAAATATAAATAAATAGAAAGGAGAACAGAGGCCCATTTTGTTTCTTTTAGGGAATTTAACACATCAGGCACTGAAGCATGTATTTATTTTTCTGAGTGAACAAATAGTGGCTTTAGAAGGACTTTAAAGCATCCAAGGATTTTAAAGTTGCATGGTCTGGTGGTTGCCTCTCTGCTGGAATGTACAGTATATATACTTTTGTGTCTATGTAACAAGAAGGGGTGAGTGGTAGCTATTGCCTGCTGACCTCTTATCTTATAGAGGAAATTGGTGTAATAGAGATTGGAAATGTATTTCTGATTGGTCCCCCTCCCCTAGAAGGATCTGCTCATCCAAAGACATCAAGTTTCTGGTCAGAGCATTAGGAATGAGTAACAAGGTTCCATATCAAATTCAATAAGGCCCCCCTGCTTTTCTAATTTCCTTCTCAAAGAAAATTTCTCAAATTATACAAAATACTATTAGTTTGTTTTAGAAATTGTATGGAAGCTCACAAACCTTTATATACAATACTCTGCCCCCAGCTACATCACCATCCTAGTCTCAAAATATTAACCAAACCGCTCACCTCCATCCTCCCAAGACCTTCTGCTCTCTATTTCCCATGTCACACCTCCTCCCATGCTCGCCTCCAGGACTTTTTCCGAGCTTCCCCCATCCTATAGAACTCCCTACCTGAATCTGTCTCCTAATCTATTCACCTTTAGACGATCCCTGAAAAGCTTTCTCTTTAACAGCTTCACGCCCGCCATATAGTACAATGACAGGCGCAAGGCAGTTCTCTTGTTCTGGGAAGACGTCATATGACGTCCTCCCATTCTAACCGCGCATATGCGCGGCTCCGGGAGCGCGCATCGTGGAGATCGGCGGTGAGCTGTGTCCCTCGGACACAGCGGATCACAGATCAACGGAAAGAGCCAAAGATGTCGGCTCAGTCATGTGATCACAGCTGATCGCATGTAAATAGGGAAATGCCTGTTATCTGCATTTCTCTCCTCACAAGCTGTCACGCTGACAGCTCGAGAGGAGAGGAGTGCCGGTAATCAGCATCCCTCAGAGGGGACATGTACACTGATCATCAGTGTGCCCTGATGATCTGTGTAGCCCCAGCAGTGCCACCTGTCAGTGTCAATCAATGCCAGCTGTCAGTGCTCATCCATGCCACCTGCCAGTGCCCATCAGTGCCACATCAATGCCACATTTCAGTGCCTACCAGTGTACATCAATGCCACATATCAGTGCCCATCTGAGCTGCCTTTCAGTGTCACCCATCAGTGCCAGTCAGTGCCATGTATTATTGCCAGTCAGTGCCACCTATCAGTGCTGCCAGTCAGTGCCGCCTATCAGTTCAGAGTCAGTGTATCAGTGCCGCCTATCAGTGCCCGTCAGTGCTGTCTATCAGTGCCAACTAACAGTGCCAGTCAATGCCACCTAACAGTGGCGCCTATCAGTACCAGTCAGTGCCACCTAAATGCCAGTCAGTGCCACCTAATCAGTGCCACCTATCAGTGCCAGTCAGTGCCCTATGCCAGAGTGCACCTATCAGTGCCACCTATCAGTGCCAGTCAGTGCTGCCTATCAGAGTGCATCAGTGCCGCCTATCAGTGCCTGTCAGTGATGCCTAACAGTGCCGCCTAACAGTGCCAGTCAATGCCACCTAACAGTGCCTCCTATCAGTGCCATATATGAGTGCTGCCTTTCAGTGCCCATCAGTGATCCCTGTCAATGCCCATCAGTGCCACCTACCAGTGCCTCCTCATCAGTGCAGCCTCATTAGTGCACATCAGTGAAGGAGAGAAAAATCACTTATTTACAACAATTTATAACAAAAACTAAGAAAAAACATTTTTTTTTTCAAAATTTTCTGTGGTTTTTGGTTTGTTTACAAAAAAATAAAAAACCCGGAGGTGATTAAATACCACCAAAATAAAGCTCTATTTGTCACAAAAAAATTATAAAAATGTCATATGGGTACAGTGTTGCATGACCACGCAGTTGTCATTCAAAGTGCAACAGCGCTGAAATCTGGAAATGGGCATGGGCAGGAAGGGGGTATAAGTGCCCTGTAGGCAAGTGGTTAAAGAAGTCTATCCTGCTTCTACCTAGTAAACCGCCATTTATTTCCTCCTTCAGCTCATCCCCCCCCGCAGCTATTACCTTTTGTATCACTCAACCCTTCCTCCTAGATTGTGAGCTCTTATGAGTCGGGCCCTCTGTTTACTCTTGTACCAAATTGTATTGTAACTGTAATGTCTACCTTCATTTTGTAAAGCGCTGCGCACACTGTTGGCGCTATATAAATCCTGTATAATAATACTATAAATCCTGTATAATAATAATACTGTATAATAAATACTAACAATAATAATGTATTTAAAAGTATTTGACAAATTCTATTGCTATCTGGAAAAGTCATTATGTTGTTGGATAGCTCAATTCCCATTGTGCTTTTTGGCCCCATAGTAGTCTTGTGATCTGTTATGGCTAGAGTTACACCCATATCTCCCAAACTGGCTGGACACTGCAAAATAAAAGGTTGCCTTTATAGGGATACATACAAGGACTTTGTGTTTTGCTTCTAACCTTTTGTCAGTTCAGTTCTTTGCCAAGAGATCCTGAACTTTGTCAGCATGTAAACAATGAAGTAAAAAAATATTTGCATGGTCAACAGTTTTATAATGGTAGTGCTAAATAGAAAAAAAATGGCCTGGTCCAGGGGCGGACTGACAACTCATGGGGCCCCCGGGCAATAGGGGATCATGGGACCCTTGTGTCCTTGCCCAAACTCAAAAAAGCCTATGAAAAAGGTACCAGGGGCATCTCATGGGCCCTCTACTGACCCAGGGCCCTCGGGCAGTGCTCGAGTTTCCAAATGGTCAGTCCGCCCCTGGCCTGGTCATGAAGGGGGTAAAACCTTTCAGAGTAGTTAAAAAGATATTTGCTGTAATTAATTTGAAAAGTAACATTTTAAATTACTCCTGTTATTTTTTTTAAAGAGCAGAAAATAAACACACAACGATTTCAAGCAATAAAACCAATATCAACATCAACATTGCAAATCACCCTACACTGTATCAACGTATTTTAGTATACAAGACGACCAGCATATACTCTACAGCTGAATCTTTACATCTTACACGTCTCACCCTTGAACAGGCCTAATCAGAGATACAAGGACATGGGAAGGGGTTGGAACTTTTATACATTAATCAATTAGAACTCCAGACAGTTCTTAAAGATATAGTATCATAAAAATCAATAGGTACATCTATATAAATAATATAAATAAATAAATATAAAGTATAAATCTCAGCAATACTATTGATTCTTATATATGTAACACAATAAAACAATATCATGACAATGGTACTTAAATTGATCAATATAATATAAGCAACATATTTCAACCAAGATAAATATTTTATCATTTAAAATAGCAAAGTAAAGCAACAAGGAGTGTGTCCACTATTAATAACATCCACCAAACTGCCATTTTCTCTTTAGGATTTAAATAAATGTAAAAATCTCCTAACCCCGGTAAAAATGAGAGAAAATGGCTGAAATACTCATTTTCTCTATGGGGTCTTCCCCCAGAGTCCAGTAGCTGATGCTTGATTTTACTCAGACTCACTCAGCTAAGAAGTCAGTACAAAGGCAGTCATGGCTCCATTCCCAGACTACAGAAAGTTACAGCGATTCTAATGGTTCTTTTTTTTTTTTGTAAAATAACAAACATGTCTATACTTACCTGCTGTGTGCAGTGGTTTTGCACAGAGCAGCCTGGATCAGGGGTGGACTGACAACTCATGGGGCCCCCCGGGCAATAGGGGATCATGGGGCCACTGTGTCCTTGCCCACACTCAAAACACACCCAAAAAAGCCTATAAAAAGGTACCAGGGGCATTTCATGGGGCCCCCTACTGACCCTGGGCCCTCGGGCAGTGCCCGAGTTCTCGAATGGTCAGTCCGCCCCTGGCCTGGATCCTCCTATTTTTGGGGTCCCCTACAGGCTCTCCTGGCTCCTCCTGTCTGTCGGGTGCCCCCACAGCAAGCAGGTTGCTATGGGGGCACCCACTGCTCCATGTGTCCATTCACACACGGAGACGTGGCTTTGCCCCACACCCTCTCTCTCCTCATTGGCTGACTGACTGTGATTGACAGCAGTGGGAGCCAATGGCTCCCACTTGCTGTCTCAGCCATTGAGGAGGCAGAGACCCGGGGGCAGCTGAGGCTGTTATTCACATCGCCTGATCGCCATGAGGCTCAGGTAAGTATTGAGGGGGCTGGGGGGGACATGCTGCACACAGAAGGTTTTTACCTTTATGCATAGAGCTTTCTTTTGGTGATATTTGATCACCTCTGGGGTTTTTATGTTTTGCTAAACAAACTAAAAAAAGACCAACAATTTTGAAATAATGTTTTTTAGTTTCTGTTATAAAGTTTTGTAAATAAGTAATTTTTTTCCTTCACTGATGGGCATGGATAGGCTGCACTGGTGGGCACTGATGAGGAGTAACTGATGGGCATGGATAGACTGCACTGATAGGCACTGATGAGGTTGCACTGATAGGGGGCACTGGTGGGCACTGTTAGGCATCACTGATGGGCAGCACTGATGGGCACTGATGGGCAGCACTGATGGGTTCTGTTAGACAGCACTGATGGGCACTTAGAGGTGGTACTGATGTGCACTGTTAGGTGGCACTGATGGTCACTGATAGGTGGCACTGATGGGCACTGTTAGGCTGCACCGATGAGCACTGTTAGGCGGCACTGATGGGCACTGTTAAGTGCCACTGATGGGCATTGATATGCGGCACTGATGGGCACTGTTAGGCAGTACTGATGGGAAGCACTGATGGGTGGCACTGATTAACTGATGGGCACTGACTTCCAGCATAGATGGACACTGATGGGCACTATTGGCAGCACTGATGGGGCAACACTGATCACCAGGACACTGATAATCAGGGCCCTGATGATCAGTGTAGATGTCCCCCTGCAAAATGCTGCTTACCGGCTTTCCTCTCCTTATGCGCTGTCAGCGTGAGGAGAGGACTGCTGATAACCGTCATTTCCTATTTACCTGGTGATCATCTGTGATTGGACACAGCTGGTCACATGGTAAAAGCAGCTGTGATTGGCCTGTTCCATAGCCATGTGATCAGCTGTGTCCAAAGAACGCAACGATCACAGATTGCATGCAGTGAGCACCAGGGGACAACAGGGGGGGGGGGCCCTGGTAAGACATCCACGACCGCCCTTCCAGAACTAGCCAACCGCGTTGTAGCCATCTTTCGGCTATAGGACAGTCAGGAACAGGTTAATCCTGACATCTCTGGTCCTCCCCTTCTTCCAGTGTCCCCCACTTATCTCCTGATAAGACATATTGTGTGGAATCACTCTGCACATGCCCAGTTTGTTGTGTTTTGCTAGAGAGTTTTTTTTGTCATGGGGGAGTGCATGTGATCAGCACATGGCCAATCAGCACTGTCCAGACAGAGGTCAGGGGTTCTGCATCCTCCTAGAGCTAAATAAAAATTCCCCCTATAAGCTTTAACCAGTGCTCTGCTGGACACTGATAGAAGTCACAAGACTGTTCTAACTGCTGATGAGAAAAGGTATTTAGCAGTTTATATTTACTAAAATAATTGCATTTCCATGTTCTGTGTACGACCAGATATGGTGAATGCAGGGTCCTGGGTTTAGTAACACTTTAAATCCAACACAGCCAAATTCAGCAGGCTTTTTATATTACTTGTAGATAGGCGTGAAGTTGTCTGTAATTAACCTACCAGCATGTCTTTGGAGTGTGAGAGGAAACTGGAGTACCCAGAGGAAGCCCACGCAGGCACAGGGAGAACATACAAACTCCAAGCAGCTGGTGCCATGGTTGGGATTTGAACCAACAACCCTAGTACTGTCAGGGGGAAGTGCTAACCACTTAGCCTCTGTGCTGCCCCCAAGCCACTGTGCTGTTTAAGAACATTGGCATGAACTATCAGGTCCTAACAGAACCTGTTAGAATTTGCTGCATTATCACAATCATTCTGGGTGCATAATAATAATATAGGCATATACAGGTGTACCTCGGTGTACAAAAGCCTCGGTTAACGTAATTTTCAGTTTACGAATGAAAATCCATTGAAATTAATGCCTCAGTTTTCAAATTTTTTTCGTAATACAGAAGTGTTAATTGGTTTTCAATGCATTTATGATTTTTTTTTAATCATGTCCCTTTACAGTACTATTAATTAAAATGCACTTTATAAAGAGTTTTGAATAGATAAGCCTTTTTTTTTTACTTTTTTCTGACCTCCGGAACGGATTATTTGGTTTTCAATGCATTTACAAATTGTTTTTTAATCATGTCCCTGTACAGTATTTATGCCTTTAAAGTGCACTGTATAAAGAGTTTTGAACAGATAAAACTTTTTT